GTGAGGTAATCTAAATCAAATTTTCGAAAAAGCTGAATGTATTTTTTAATATTCTTTAAATGTCTTGGATTCTCATCTGGTCCCCCATCCACTAATAATATCAGATAAGTCAAATTTCTCCGTCGGCCTTTATCGTATCATCATATTGAGGATCTAGAATGAGGCTTTTGAGGTCTTGCATATGTGTGAGTAAAGAAGTTCCAAGGGACCATTGACAACGTACAAAAATGGCAAGTTGTCCCGTTCTCAAATCATCATTTAATTCATTCAGTTTGATCATAAGGTAAACCGATAGAATTAACTTTTGCTCATATCCTGCAGGAAAGTCATAATCAGCTACACAAACAGGCTCGTGAACTGACTGTAATGTGCGGAATGTCCGACCTACAGCTGGTATCCCAAGACCTATCTTTGCCTTGTCATCTTGAGAAATGACAACAGATTTATCGGCAAAGACAGTGGCAAATTGCCTTGCACATTTAACAGAAGCAAGATAATAGTGACCATCAGGATGGTCGTGTTTCAGTACGTGAAACTCCAGCCACTGCGACCCAAACCGAATGATGATACGCTTTTGCAGCAATAGAATTGGATTGATGAGGTAACAGGTAATTATTCAATGTAATTCGCGTCATGTATACATTGTAGTTCTCTTCAAGATTCTTACGTAAATTTTGATAATTCGCACTTTAACAACTTCTTTCCTTCATTTTTCATCAGCTGCTCCAAATTTGATTGAATCATGAATATAATCATGTAAATTCGGATGCTTGAAAAAAAGTGGAGAACAGCCAGGTTTATCATACTGTACCACTTCCTGATTTTTGATAAGTGCTTTCTTTCTTTTTTCTTTGCATCTTTGAGTATAACTTGCGTTCCTTTTTAATTTTATGATTTTCTTCTTGTTAGATTCGATTTTATTACGGAAGTTCTCTATTTTTGCATGAACATCATGTTGAATTTGAGGATCCGTGGTGATGTTGTAGACCTGCCTAAGTTCGGTAAGTTTTTCTTCAAGTTTTTTTATGTCATTCGCTAAATTTTTTTGAGCTGACGCATTTACAGAAATGTCTAATACAGGATCTACCAAACGAGTTCGAGTATTAGGAAAAGGAGGAGAATTGGATCTTTCCTAGTAACATGCAACCTTAGTCTTATTGTTTGTATATCATATAGGTTACACAGCATAATCAGATAATTTCTAATTATATCATCAATTTCTGATTTACCTTTGCCTTTAATTTTATTCTATTCTTTCGCTGCTTCGCAACAAATATCAGCATGATTAGGGGTGCAGTTTCCTGTATTAACCATAATACTATATATATAAGCATTGGTAAACTCTTGATATTTGTTTGTAGGTGAAGCGTAAATAAGTTTTTTATTAAACTTAGGGCTAACTAAGAAAATTTGATGACTCATTTTAGCACTAAAGAGATAGAATAATGATATGTTTATTTTACGAAAGTTGAGTGTGTCATAAAATTTCACGACAAAACTCCTGCGACAACGAGAACAGGTATGATCGTTATGGTACAAATAATTCTGTGGAATCTTGATTGAAATGTTGAGATATAAATCGATAATCACATCAATTTTATACAGGATTTTTTTTTCACTTTTTTTTTGTAAATTTAGGAACACATTTTATAACACTTTCTCATGTAAAATAAAGTTAAATTTATAATAAACTTTTAATTTATTTAACATTATAATAGTATATTTTTATTACAACTGATATACAAATTCTATAAAAGGAAAGTGATCGATATTCACATGATTGGAATATCTTACCTGAGGGTGTGTGGGTAGACGTTTATAATAAATTGATATTAGGTAATATATGTCACTGCCCCAACAAGAACAATCTATTTATTGTATTAACTATTAGATTTAATGAATTTGGTATTATTAGAGGGGTTAATTGTATATTTATTATTTTCGTATTGTCAAATAAATCAATCTTGCTTAATTTGGAAAAATTGGTAATTAATAAAGAGTTTATTTTTTTTTTTTACCATATTCTAATAGTATTGTTTAGCATTTCACAATTCGATTTAATATTTGAATATTTGATTTGATCAAATCTAAATCAATGTTTGATTTGATTCGATCAAATTTAAATCAAGTATTCAAATATTTGATTTGATTTGAATCAATAGTAAAGCCAT